GGGAGAAGAAGAAGAAAAGAAGATTGGCAACAGATGTTAGCTCAGGGCCAATCTTTAAAAAAAAAAAAAAGAAGAAATAGATGGAACTGTAAACCATCTCCATCTAAGAAACGCTGTTGGTGGGGTAAAAGAATAAAGACCCTAGTTCATAGCATAGCTCACTGGGGAACTGCTAATCACAACTTTATCATATATCCTTTTGGAGGGTGAGGACATTGTTTGCAACCAAGATGTGCAGAAAGGGGACAATTGCTAGTCTCCTTGTATGAGGCCTGAAAGGAGGACCCAAGGAAGAAATCGCATCTAGAGCATTAAGATATGACACTTAAAGAAAAACAATCACCCCAAGGAAATGTTTAAAACCAAAATGATTTTAAATTAAGTGTTTAGAATTTACAAAGTCTTTTCACATGCTACCTTACAGAAGCCTTGTGTTAAAGTATTTCCCTTCTTCCAAGCAACATCAGGCACTTGTAGGTACTTGCTTTTATCAATTTGGGGTGCAAAAAATATAGCATTTCAGGAACCTGAAGCACAGAGAAGTAAGGCTAGGTCAGTACTCCCTTCATTCAAAAGGGCTCACCGCGGTAGTTCTAAGCCCATCTCTGTGTAATCAACAAAACAGCGTATGGACCTGCGATATTTTGTACAGAACTGTGTCAATTTCAGTTTACTTGCACTCTCCACTCCGTTTTGTGGAATACGTTAGTTCTCACCACCAGCTCTTCTGTAGCACCCCTGCAAATAACTAAAACATCTACAGACAACCTCACTGCAGAGTTTTTGGAAAATGAAAGTAATAAAAATTTAGAAATCACAATTACAAAACTCAGCCAGTATTTTCACAGAACCCCAAATTCCCCAGGTAACCAATCTGTGTCTGTCCTCTACCTCATGCACAAAGCAGAAGAATTTGAGTATCTTCTTGGGGCATCTTCCTCAGGATCTAAGCTGGAGCATCAACTCTAGTCCATTTAGGACCCACAGGAACTTTTTTTTTAATGGCTTGTCTTTGTCAACCTGCAAAAACAGAAACCAATTTAAGAGGCAAAGCTTTTATATGAAATCAAAGCATTGCAGTTCAGGGAGCACAGATTCAAGTAGAAACCCAAATAGTGTCCCGTTAAGGAGTGAAAGTCAGGGGCTTTTAAAGGCAAAGAAGAGAGATTGTATTACAAAGAATTTTAGCTGGAGTTGGAGGCAGAGAGCTAGTCTTGGCTAAACATTGATTGACTACTGATTCCATCTCCAGAAAGTCCACAGTCCTCAATCTTTGTGATCAGCACGTCCATTCTCCTGCTGACTTTTCAAGCAATTGCTTGGAAAACATTTGCCATTTTGGCCCAGTCCAAAGGTTTGGCCCAGTCCAAGGTTCAAGACAGCAAGGCAGTTTCTCTGGAGAGGCATCACCAACTCCATTTTAAAATGACCCCACTATAGTCAATTTTGAAATCCTCCACTGGATATTTGGTACATGATCTTACTTTCAAATCTTCCACTTATACCTCTACAGTTTCCAACAATTGGAACGGAGGAAAAAGATGTGATGTTGTTTTCCTCCTGCAAAGCAACAGTTTTGGACCATTGCACCTTCCCATCTACTAACATAACTTTTTACGTCATACTCAAGCATCACTGCTGGCCTCCGTGGGGAGGATATCCAAAGGCCTCTCTGCCCTGTCAGCCCTCCAGTGTTTGCGGTTCTGTGGTGTATTCTGGGGCTACAGTCTCATTTTATCTGCAGTCATATCCTTATTATTTGATTATATGTGTTACCATATACACAGAACTTGGCCAGGGGTTAGCAAAGATCACCACTGTTTCCTACCCATCACCTCCTTACGTGCCCCCTGAGAAGAACTTGAACTACACTAACACTGCTGCTTGCTCACCCTGCTCCTCACCCCCTCCCATACCCTGGAGAAGAAGTGAATTATGAGACTGGTGAATTTGGAAAAACGAACTGGACACGTTCCATTCAACCCCTTCTGGGTTCTCATTCAGAGCCAGCCTGACTACAGACGGGTGTCTGTAGGGCTGCCCTCCTGGGAGCATGGCGAGGAGCCTTCACAGGAAGATGAGGCCAGCTATTGCCCTGCTGCGGCAGTGACAAGGTGAAAATGCCTGTCTAATGTAAGGGTAGCTCTCGGCATCTGCCTTTCTCTTGCTTCCATCCTTCACTCAATTTGGAACTGGAGCAGCAGGGAAAGAGTATTTCATTATAATCCCTTAAAATCTCAATACCTGGAATTCTCTTAATTCCCTCATCCAATCTCACAGTTTTCTCCATTTGAGCCAATAGGGATAGAGCTTCTCTCAGTTAGAAGCTGTAATTTGCCTGACATGATGGCTGTCTTAGCTCATGCTGTACCCTTTATGATTTCAGCCTCTTCCCATTAAATGGAAGGAACTGAGCTGAAGGGTTCTCGTTTGACTGCTCAATCGGGGAGTTAGGGGATCTATACAAAGATAAAGTGGACCATACCTGTTCTCACTGAGCATACAATTTGAGCTGTCTTGCAGTAACGGAAATGGAGTACTGAACCGTTCTCGCCCCCTCCCTTCGGCTCTTGTGGTAAGCAGATAGCCAGCCTCGACAGTGCAATGTAAGGCTGTGGAAAAGAATGACTAACATGCAGGGGGATTACCCCACAACCTTGGTTTCTTGAGCTCAGTACCATAACAACATGAGCAAATCATTTCAGGCAAAAGAGTTAACAGGAAGGATTGCCGTTACCTAGGAGGCAGCTGTGGTGTGCTGGGCACGTACATAAGCTCTGCGAGCTGTCGACTTGGGTTCAGATCACAGTTTCTCTACATACTGATTGTTTGGCTTCAGGCGTGTTATTTTACCACTCTGACTCAGATTCTTATCTGTGATATGAGGAGAATAATAGTATCTATCTTACAGGTTTGGTAGAGGATTAAATAAATTAATACTGGTAAAACATTTAGACAGTGCCAAGTGTGCAATACACATTCCATTAAGGTTGGCTGTCATTACTGGAGTTGGAATGTGATGGTACAAACATAAGCACTAGGGAAGATTCCATTTGTCATTAATGATGCTAAGAGAGCTAAACATCTCACAACAACCTAATGTGGCTGCATCCACCAGGAGTTCAACGGAGCCCTTTTGTAGGTTAGTTGTGTGTTCCAGCCTGCTTCATCTTAGACTAAGTAATTATGTACATTTACTATACATTTCAGTTGATTGGTCAATTATGTGCTAAATGTTCGTTGAGCAGCCAGCTCCAGGTGTGACAGCACTGACTCTCCCAGACGCCTTAGAAACTGCTGAGATTTCAGTTGCATTGGTCCCTCGGAGCATTGCCTGCTGCATAATGTGCAAATCCACTTCCCCGTCATGTCCGTTCTGCAGGCAGCATCTTGCCTGAAGCCTGGTTAGCAGCCTGCATGTGGGATATCATAGAAGCTAGCCAAGGATAAGTGTGGCAAGTGGAACAACAGGAACTGGGCCAAGAGGGTATTAGAGTCAAAGGCATCGCCTCAAATTCTCCAGATGGCACAGAAAAGCAAAGAAAAAGGTCAGAAATGATCAATTTCCACAAGGAGAAACCTTGCAAGAAAATGAACTGAATTCTCATTGAGTCCATCAGAATTCAGGTTTCATCTTTTCTTTAAGCTCTGCACACAATAGATCCCATCCCCTAATTGCTATGTATTGCTTCAAATGCTAGAAACACAGTATGTTCTGCTTTTATGGTAATTGACGGTCTTGTTCAGAAAATGTAAAACTCCACCAGTTGCTGAACCAATTGTTCAATTAAGTTGTCGCTGCATTTCCAGGGCCGGGTGGTTCAGCTGTGTGCCAGGCAGCATCTCCTTGCTCTCACAGTAGGGACTTATTTTAACTTCCACAGCAACTACCTCATGTGCTGTAACTGAAGATTCCATGGCACAGTTGAAAGGAAAGAATATGATTTTCAGCTCATTTATTCCTGCAAAACAGGATTCTCTGCAGTGAATTACAAGTCCAACACTTAGTAGAAGTCAGAATAGAATTAAGTTTTTAATAAATGCATCTACATATGTGGTGAAAGTTTAGCATCTGCCTTGAACTCAGGGCTGAAGGGGAAGCTGAAAGGCATTTGAAAATGCAGGGAAATGTGTGCATGGAAAGTGCGTTTTGTGGCTGTGAGCCCAAGAAGCTGGACCTTCAATGACCTGGCAGCTCCTATCCAAGGATCTCCAAAGAGAATATGTGGTACACAGGTGCACACATCTCTCCTGATCCCCAGGAGGCAGCTAAGAGAGAACGCATCAAATTTCAGGTGGTAAGGGGGCTGAAAGAACCTTGCAAAACTCCCCCTCTGGCTTCAAATCCTCTACAAAGAATTGTGCTGCATCTGTCTTACATTGTGCCCTCCCTGGTCCAACTCTCAAGCTCGATTCCCACACTTAGTCTTTCCATTCTTGCAGTACATACAAGCCCTGTCCTACAGCTCTTTTGATGAATAATCCTTTGTTTCTCATAACAGAGAAAGGCTGCCCCTACGTGGGCCATACTGAAAAGTAATCCTAGTTATTGGTCTAGAAGCACCAAGGAGAAGCAAATCCTGAGAAGCACACGCATCGCCTTGTGGAACATCCATCTCAGGTGAGTCTTTTACTTGGTCTCCAGATGTTGCAGAGTGAATTGTGCCCCTCACAAATATGTTGAAGGCTTAACACCCAGTACCCATGAATGTGACCTTATTTGGAAATAGGGTCTTTGCAGATGTAACCAAGTTAAGATGAGCTCATCCTGTATTAGGACAGGCCCTAATCCAATATGACTGTGTCTTTACCAGAAGAGGAGACAATATGCAGACACAGAGGGAGAACGCCACATGAAGATGGAAACAAAGGATGGAGTGATGCATCTAAAGCCAACAAATGTCAAGGATGGCCAGCAACCACCAGAAACTAGGGGAGAGAGGCATGGAACAGCTTCTCCCTCAGAGCCCTCGAGAAGGAACCAACCCCTGGTTTTGGACTGCTGGCCTCCAGAACTGTGAGAGAACAAATTTCTGTGATTTTAAGCCACTTAGTTGATGGTAATTTGTTACGGCAGCCACAGAAAATGAAGACACCTGTCAATAGGAAGCTGCTCTTCTCCAAGTCTGCCAGCCCAGAGCAGTCATGAGGATCTCAAGGTTTATGCCCAAATATCCTCATCCCAGATCTCAGGGTCTGACCTCTTCCCTACCAGGGCCCTAATTTTAGCATAGGAGACTTTCTAAGGTTGTAACTCTATTTATTACCCTTACAACCAAATCTTGTGCATGGATTTCAGCACAGTCCTCTTTCCAGCTTTGGAAGATAAGGGCCTATTTAAAAACTGTCTTAGAGGCCTTCTAGCTTTCACGCTGTGCCCTGAGTTGATAGTTGGCTGGTTTGAGTGCGTAATTTTCTTCCTAATGACCAGTCAACAAATCAGCCAACTAATCACCATTACCCCACATCTTTCAAGCACTGGGAATATTGCCTAAGCTAATCCATCTCCTTCCTCCTCCACCTCATCCTGACCCCCCCAGGTGAGAGTTTTAGTAAGTGTGATGCTACAGGACACAAGGGGTTATCATCACCACATGAACCACAGCAATGGGGCTCTTGTTGCCTTCTGGCCAGAGGATGATCCAACTTCAGGATCTCATCCTAAGGATCTGCTCCCTAGGACCACCGCTGATACCAAATGCTTTAGATTGGAATCTCCTAGAAGGAGAGCCTGAGACAAGGATTGAGTACAAGGAGTTATTTGGGAAGTGATCCCAGGAAGCACCATGAGGGAGTGGAGAGATGAGACAGAGAAGGAAAGGAAGCTAAGACAGGTATGTTAATGAGCTGGTTTCCACCATGGACAAGTGGGGCTCGGTCCCGCTGGGGAACTCAGAAACTTCACAGAACTCATCTCAGGGTATTCCCACCTGAGGAGCAAGGAAGCTGGGATATTTACCCACCAGCTCCCATCTGTCACTGATCAAGGGCTGCTCCTGGGAGGGTTAACTTTCCAGCACTTCTGATCTGCCCTCTGTATAGGCCACATCTGCTCCTGTAGCCAGAGAAAGTCCCACACGGAGAGCTGCAGGCCTTGTAGTAAGAAGCAGTAGCTGTGCGTTCAGGAACAGAGATGCTGAGTGGTTACAGATGGAGCATAGACCGTGGCTGCTACACCCGCAAGATAAAAACTCAGGGACACTGGGGCAGCACACCCCAGCTCTTGTGGACTTGAGTTGGAGCAGAGGTGAGGCAAACTCTGAAATGGAGGTATAGGAAGAAAGTTGGTGCCACATTTCCTTAGTCACTGTCCCCGACAAACAGACCTTTCTTCTTTTCTTAAGTGCTCAGGGCCAAGAAAGTTAAGAGGCCATTTGTTCAAAGTACAGAACTAACTGTGTTTATTCAATTAAAGTTATTCTAGTCTTTTCTAACTCCTGAACAGAATATAAAGTCTCTGCCGGAACATAAGGAGGTTCACTTTTCTTATGTAAGTTTAGTGCTGACTCTGAAATTACTTGCTGGAGTAGCTCGAGAATGTTCTCTTCTCGCTGCTGCTGCCACAACACTGAAAGAATTTTCTTTGGACGTGAGCTGGAGGAAGACAGCTTCTAGACAGAATGCTAGCAAAAAACAAACAAAGACATCACATAGAAATCATCTACTGTATTGTTATTTCTTGGGTCGCACCATGAAAAGTCTGCCCGTCACCCCCATGCTGAAATGCAGCATGCTAGCATTTGGTAATTAACTATTTCTAGTGAGGATCCATCTAATTTAGGGAATGCTGCCATGTGGAAGCAAATAATTTACATGCTTTCTATAAAATATGTCACAGTTGGTCTTGAAAGAAATTAAAGAAAGCATAAACTATGGTGTTAAAATAGTTGCTTAGCACTAAAAAATACATAATTTTTGCCCTACCCTCTGCTTCATGCCACATAGAGCAAGGCCTGGGATTTCAAATGCAGGACTATCACGGCAGTCCTGATGAGTACCGAGGCAAGACGGAGAGGCCAATGACCGCCAGCCACAGTCAGAAGGAGCCTCTCGTGTTGAGCAGGGAGAGCACTGAGTTTTCCGGAATTAACAACCCCTTCATATAGTAATTAAGCCACACGAAATTGCTGGTCTTCTATGATTTTTTACTACAAAAATTGCAAACTTCAGACTGTTTAAAGTAATAATGCCCAACTGAGTTACAGGAGTGTTTTGTGCTGGTCTCAGCCTATTGATAGAGTTGTTATGGTTAGAAATGCCTGGGGGGCCTTACCTGGGCCCTAGGCAAGTCCCACAGACATTTCCCCTTTCGGAGACAATGTTGTGGCTGGACCGGCCCTTGTGGTTCTTTATGATTGCAACATATCCTCAGCAACAACCATCACCAGGGAACTTCGAAAAAACAAGGTTTATTACTCGCAGGTCCTGGAGGGCACACGGCAGCCCCAAGGCCACACGGCGAAGTCCTGGTGGAGAAAGAGGGACAATCGGGAGAGGATCTGAGGTTCTGCTTTTTTGGGGTTAAGGGCAAGGTGCCTAGGATTTCGTGGGTTCACTCTTTATTGGTGAATTTAAAACATAAGAGTGGAGACTAAACTATGGGAAGGGAAAAGCAAGAGGTCAGTCAAAGGGTCAGTTTAAGGCAACCAGAGCTTTCTAACAAAAAGGGAACGTCACTGGTGAGGTGGCGTGGCTCTTTATCTAGTTGTGTAGCTGGCAATGTGTTTATTCAAGACAGATCTCTTTGAAGTGATGCCTCAGTAATCAAAAACTCCATGTCAGGCACTTACATTACAATCAAAAAAGCTAATTGTCAGGGACTTGTACTATGGTGAGCTTCCCTGGACTCGGTGTGGGTTTAAAAGTAATGGGTAGCAACTGTTAAATTAATATTTTTAAAAGCTGGAGGAAATTTCTGGTTTTAAAATGACTTAAGAAAGCAGGCACTGCCTCCTTCTTCTCTTGGAAATCACTCCAAAACAAAGACAATACAAATCAAAGCACATCTTGGATAAAACTAGAAGACGTACATAGCCTCAAAATACAAAATATGAGGGGGAACTGCCACACAAAGGGAGCATCAAACACAGGTGTAGGAAGATGCCACAAGAGAATGCCTGTGCAAACCTCGCAAAGCACAGATCCTGTAAAGCACGTGACATGTACAGATGGGCAAAACCAGTAATTCCTGATTTAGAACAAGCTCTGTGGATCAGGAATGACACCAAGGTAAAGCAGAGGATGAAGAGCTAAACGGGAAGTGGATTATCAAGCCATGTTTGCAGGAAGCAACCTGTCTGTGAGGCAGGGTAGATACAGTTGCTCATTCTTGTTGGCTAAAAGGAAGTAAAGGCTACATTAGCCTCCAAGCTACCATCCCATCTCATGAAAAATGTTACTATGAAACAGGAAGAACTCTTACTAGCCTGAACATGACCTGACTCCCACTAGCCCTTCCCAACACACACACACACACACACACACACACACACACGCACACACCCCTCCTGCAAATAGCTGGTTCAAGAAGATCTCACCTCATTCAAAGAAGAATAACAAAAAGGATTCAGCCCTACAAGATAATTTTCAAAGATATTCACTACAACATTGTTTGTAATGGCAAGAGATTGGAAACACACTAAATGTCCATCACTAGGCAACTAGTTAGGTAAATTATAATGCCTTCAAACAATAGATTTCTGTGCATCTGTTAAAAAGATTGAGGTAGCTCTGCACATACTAATAAAATACTCTATATCATCCAGGATAGTGTAGGTTACCCTGCAGTAACAAACATATATCCAACACTTTAGTGGCTTAACACAACAAAACTTCATTATTCGATCACACAACAGGTATGCTTGGAGTTGGGTGGGGGTTGCTTTCCTCCATATTATCTTTACTCAGGGACCTGGGTTCATCATCTAGAACATTATAACCATAGCTGCAGGGGGAAAAGTGAAAAAGAGAATCATGCATCTGCTCTTAAATGCCTCCACCCAGAAGAGACACATGTCACTTCTGAGTATGTTTCATCGGCTAAAGCAAGTTATATGATCATCTAACTGCAAAGGGTCAGAGAAGAGCACTCCTACTGCGTTAGCCAAAAGGAGAAGTGGAATATTGGTGAGCAGCAGTGTTTCCCACCATCCAAGAGATATTATTAATTGAAAAGGAAAAGCAAGCTTTATTCTTCATATTAAAAACATATTATATATACTTTATATTCTTGATCTTCATTGAATATTTCTGGAAGTCTTTCTTTTTTGGGGGGGAAGATTAGCCCTGAGCCAACATCTGCTGCCAATCCTCCCCTTTTTGCTGAGGAAGACTGGCCCTGAGCTAGCATCCGTGACCATCTTCCTCTACTTTGTATGTGGGACACCTGCCACAGCATGGCTTGCCAAGTGGTGCCATGTCTGCATGCAGGATCCGAACCGGTGAACCCCAGGCAGCTGAAGCGGAACATGCGAACTTAATCACTGCACCACCGGGCCAGCCCCTGGAAGTCATTATTGATAATAAGGAGATATCACTAGGTAAGCATGACAAAACTGGGTGGTTTAACTTTTTAGAAGGCTTAGATTTCACTGTATGTCCTTTTTTACCTTGGGTATCTCATACCATATGCATGTATTATCCACTAAAAAGACATATTTAAAAATAAACAAAAGTAAAAGGCAGATTCCTTTTGACCCTAAAACACAAAGGGCAATATAAGGGAATCTATCTCAGTTTGCTCCCCTTGAATAAAGTCTTGTGAGGGTTTCCTAGAAGGAATGTGTAAGCCTAGAAGAGATTTTTTTAAAAATTATTTAAATTTATAAATATTTCATAATCATGGCTTATAAATAAAATTTCCAAATGGGGGACACCTTTAAACTCAGAAACAAATTCAATAGATGTTGGTCTAAAATGAATTGACAGTGATCATCTATGAAAAAGACGGCCAGATTACTGCACAATGCAGCGATCTGCTTTCAGCCAGGACAATTGAGTCATAAGTGCATTAGTTTGTGGGAAGTGTATTCCCTGATGAGCGCACATTATGAAAAATATTAGACAACAATCAATTAGGGAAAGACTCCAGTTCTTGATTACAGCATTATGGATAAGGCATGAACCAGTCATCTGTCCATCAAAGAAAGCCCAACTACTTTCTAGAAGCAGCAGGAGCCTACATCAGGGAGAGAAGGATATTCTTTCCTTATATAAACTGCATGTCTAGTACATTTCCCCAGGCCAGGATCATTTTTAATGTAAACATCATCTTGTTACAGAACTCCTTGTACTTTCAAAGTTCCTTAAATCACTAATTAGTTATGCCACATTAATAGCAACGTCTCAGTTCTGTATCTTTTCATACCGATGGTTCTGTTGGGGAAAAAGATCAGCTGAAAGTCAGGGAAGACATTGATATTTTCTGGGCACTTGCATACCCCTCTCTACCCCACACGATGGCCCCATGCCACACCTCCATTCCAGAAACACAAGAGCTCGCAGTTGAAATAAACCACTCCCAATGCCTCAGTCTGGGACTTTGACCACGGGGAAGAGTGAGGCAGTGTCTTGAAAGTGATTACAGGTAGGATCCACTTTAATCTAGCTCTGTGTCCTGTGGCTGGGGCAGGAGGCTTCTGAATATTAATAGAGCTCATCACTACTCGTTTCCAGCTATTTCATCTCAAAGGGCTGCCCAGGTCACACGTGCCACAGCAAACCTAGGATGAGAGTAGATCTTGAAATACCCTGCACATAAAAAGACAAGTTCAAGGACAGAAGGAATGAAAGGTGAAGCAAGAGGGAGAGAAATGTTTTCTTCTTATGGAATTGGCCTACAACAAAATGGTGCAACAAATATGTGGATTCTTGGTAAGCCATATGAGAAGTCAGCATCTCTGCTGCCTCCAGACCAGGACGTACTTCACTCCTTAAAGGAATAGGGCACTAATGAGGAAGGAGCCCAATTCTCGTCAACTCACAGAAAACCAAGGTCCCAGGGAAACCCCAATTAAGCCCAAAGAAAGGGACTTGATAAAGAGAGTACACAAACCAGTTGGGGGAGCTTGTCCTCCTCCATGTCTTTTTGTTGTTTTCAACATATCCAACAGAATAAATTAACTTTTAATGCTATTCTATATAAGAACATCCACTAATAAGAAAAAATGCATAGCTAGACCATACATCCTGATTTTCTATTTAGGAAATATAACCATTGTATCTTGATTTACACAAACAGCATTTATTGACCACCTACTACACACCAGGCACTATGCTAGACACTAGGAATACAACATTAAGAAAGCCGCTGTCCCAGACCCCAAAGTTTTCTAGTGAGACACACAACCAATAACTCAATATAATAGTTGCATTGATCAGATTCTTGGCATCTGATGGGAACTCAGTAAGTACTTTTGGAAAAAAATAAATTTTAAATAAATGAATGATAGAGATTTGTAAAAAAGAGAACGTGTAAGTCCAAACTGGGTCAGGGAAGATGTCACAGAGGAGGAGATATATGAACTAAGAGTTCATGGATAAATAAAAATTCTCCAGGAAAATGGGCAAGGGTGGAGGCCAATCTTTCCGACGAAGGCAGTCATGCACAGAAAGGCACTGACCTGTGGGAGAGCAGGGCACATTCACAGACCTGCAGCCAGACTGCAGCAAGGACTCACGTGGGGAGGTGGTAAAGACGAGGCTTGGAGTGTAGTTTGAAGCCAGATCATAAAAAGCTACCTGAGGAGTTTAGCACGTCTGCTGGAAACAATGAGGGGGCAGCTATAGTTGTAGTTGTGAAAAAAATCTCCTTAGTAGCCATCTGGAAAATGAAATTGAGTCATCAAGAGTAGACATAAGGATGAGAGTCAAATAAGACATGGAAGAGAGGAGAGTTTCTGAAGCTCTTCAGGGGAAGATGGAATCGGCGGGGAGGCCTTGATGACTAACAGAATCTGAGAAGAAAAGGAGAGGAAAGCAGGCAAGAAGGAAAGCTCTAAAGATTCTAGTTTGGGTGACTGAAACACTAGGAGAGTCTGATTTGAGAGGAGGTGAGTGTAGAAGCCAGGGGTTGAGAAGGAGATCCAGATCACAAGTTCTGTTTGGGGACACTGACCTTCAGGGTAGCTGCAATCAGACAGGAAAACCCAGTAGGTAATGGGAACAGGTTGTGAGGCCGGGAGAGATGGCTGATAAGATTAAGACCTGAGGGTCACAGAGTCATCCAAACCCGGAGTTTCTGGATAATCTGAAGGTGATG